ACAGACGAAACACCCGTGTGAAAGGGGCCTAAAGCAGGCCATAGACGTGGGGAAAATCTGTTTTTTTTTTTTTTAAGTCGTAAATCGGTTGTTCAGACGGCCGATGTTGCCACTAATTAAAAAAAAAAAAGTCGGCGGGTTTTAGTCCCGTCTACGGCCGTCAATTAATATAAATAGCGGTGTCCCTGCATAGAGCCCCGCTATTATATTTGACAGAAGAAATAGATTATGCAGAAGAAGAAGAGAAACAACATTGTATCTATTTGTACTTGAATAGAAACATCTGTATCTGAAATGCATACAAGTAGATACAATGTTGCAACTTTTTTTCTTCACTGTCTTCTGCAAAATCTATTTCATCTTCTCGTCTTTTCTGCTTCTTGATATTCTATTTCTTCTTCTCCTGCAAAATCTATTTCTTCATAGTCAATTTATTGTCAAATCGGCCAGAAGAACGGCCGATTTGACCATAAATTACCGCGAAAATTGGCCGATCTAACAAATCTTCCCAGGATTTTCCAGCTTGGACAATTTTCAAAATCTCCTAAAATTAAGAAAAACGGCCAACATTTTTCCCCACTAACGGTACGAATATCAGCCGTTTTTTTTTTCTTTATCGGCTGATTATTCGGCAAGAAAATTGGAAATCTATGGCCGCCTTATGGGGCATATTTATAAAGCAATTAACCTGACATTCAATGCAGGCGATTCTTCCAGGAACATATGTGATAGACTACCACCAGGGAATATTTGGTGATAAATTAATTTGCTACTTTATAAATATACCCCGACCAAGGAAAATTCACTCTGCTGAAGTCAAACCCATAGATCATTCCGATGTATTCCAGGTTACTGCACTTACCTCTATGCTGAACAAGGCTTTACGGCTCATTTACAGTACTATCCTACCTTCCTCTGCAGGACAAGTTTCTTATCAAATTGTAGTATCTTTATGTATGTTTTATTTTAAGGACTGACCACTCCAGGTGATCTTAAAGGATACGTTCACCTTTACCGAAAAATAAATACATTTTTGTCTGCAGAATTATTGTCTGCAGGAGCCTGGAAAGCATTGCAGCTGTGATTAGTAACTCAATGTGGGCTCCTGCATCCATGTCCTCCTGCTTTCAGCCTGTACCTCTGATGAGTGCTCCTTATAGTCCATTGACATGTCCCCCAGTTTTCAATGTCCCCACAGCACATTGAAACGACAAGTCCCTTTGATGCAGTGGCAGACAGTACTGGTTTATTCATTCACAGAAATCTTGATATGAATGATGTAGCTGTTTGGGTGGAGCTGTTTTTAAAAAGTTATAAAGGCTGTGGGGGAAGAATCTCTGCCCACTGTCACAGGGAGAAGGGGCAGGAACATGCTACATGTTTCACCCTAAATATAGGAGGAACATAGTCCAATGGTGAACTTAGGCCTTTAAATACTGGTTTAACATTACAAAAGGTGAACTTATCCTTTAGAGTGCTAAGGCTCCATACACACAGGATGTTTTGATAACGCTGGTACCATTAGCTATGTAAAGTCACGTTAAAAACTTGAGTTTTTCAGCGTTTTTGCATTAGCTTTTTTTTTTTTTTTTTTGGTCACAAAGTCCAAAAAATGCCACTTTGTGGCATTTTACAGCATTAGAGCATTTGTACAGCTAAAAAACTCCTATAGAAACCCACTAGTCCTGCTTTTTTTTTTTTCCCAGCCAAAAAAAATGTTGATTACAGTCTGAGTGCATGGACACAGAGGATAACATGGTGGGGGGTTTACTGGATGTAGGAAAAAAATGTCAAGAGCCAAAAACAGCCGCTGTAAAAATGTCCAGTGTGCATGAGGACTTAACATGTTACTAGGCAGCAGCTGCCCTCTCTTCCAAGTTCCCCCCCCTTGTGACAGCAGATATTCTCCCCGCAGCCACTGTCGCATTTTAAAACAGCAGGGCTCCACCTGCACTACACATCATTCATTCACACAGATCTGTGAATTAATTAACTACAAGTTCTGTCTGCCACAGCAGCAGATAGCTTGCAGTTTTCAATTAACTACGCAGACGATGGTGAGTGTCCTCGTAGTTCATTGATACTTCCTGCACTTCAGTAACTGTCTGCCCCTAGGGAAGTGCATGCAGGAGCCTGATATTGCACCTGCAAGCCACTGTTTGCAGATGCAGTGTAAAAAATAATAAAAAATGATTTTACCTGCAAAGTTACATCCATTATTTTTTATTTTTTTTTTTTTTTATAGGTTAAAATAGCCTTTAAGCGGGGGGAACAGTTTTTTTTTTTCTGTTCTGCCAAACTGTTTGAACAAAAAAAAAAGAAATTTCTGTATCCACACGAGCAACGTAGATGCAGGTATCTCCCTCCACCGTACTGTTGTGTTGTCACAATGGGGACCCCTGTCTAACTAACATTCGACTTCTTGTTTTGAGAAGAGGACTACACCCAGATCAAAATATATAAAACAGGATGTGCTCTCACTGGTTTTGTTGTTGTAATACATCTTTTTGGATTTAATGCAAAAAAGACAAGTAATAGTAATAAACTTGCACAGCCAGATTGTGGCACATTGCTTATCACCAGACCCTCTCCTATTCCTTTTAAAGTTTCATTTGGGGGTAATAACAGAGGGTATGGTGAAAAACAATGTGCATTAGTTTACATTTTTATACAGCTTGTTACAATCTGTAATTATTAATAAAGACCATTTCAAGTACTGCACTGCTGCGGGTTTTTTTTTTTTTTTTTTTAAATCTAACTTGACTTTTTCTCAAAGGATTTAAATTTTATTGATGTACAGCAGTGTCTACAGTTCCTAATTCTGATACTTTAGCCTCATAAAACCCCTTAAAGTAAGACCCCTCCTTATGAACTTTCAAAGATAGGAACATGTCCAATCATGAAAAAGGTTGGGTACACACGCAGCAGGCTGAACGGAAAAAAAAAACCCCCACAAAACTGACAGATCACCATACCAACACAAGCAATGTTGGTGCAGCGATCTCCCCTGATGTGCCTATGTGTTGTGATAAAGGGAGCTCCCCCGCCAGAACACACTGATCAGGACTTGCAGCCATTGTCTGCATACGCTGATCTTTGTGGAATTACACATGTGCCCGTAAGGGGACTTACTGTATTATATCTGTATACAAGGGCATCTATTCCATACTACCTGGGTCAGGTTTACGTATGCATGCACATAATTTCGCTACTACTTTTTCTAAGAACAGCAAAGCAATGTTTTCGTGTTTGTGTATTGCAGGAAAAAAATGATGTGACCTTCGTAAAAAAACAAAACAAAAAACCCAGTACTGCCAAGGAGGACTTTCCTCCCCCGTCGTCTCTGGCTCTGTTGAGAAGGATCGGGAAACAGAAGGACGACGTAAAAACTACAGAAATCATATTGAAAAAAAAAAATGAACAAATTTCCTTCCAAAAAATTTATGTGTAAAGTTTTTTTTTTACCTCAATTTTTACTACTGTATTTTTTTAAAGAAATGTTTGTACCTGTAAAGATTAATAAGATGCGTCCGTTAACCTGTTTAGCTGCAGAGATGTGAAAGGCATTGTCAAAAATCCATAAGAGAATCTCTCAGGCCAAGCGAGGTTAATTTTAAATCTGTATCATGTTTACTTTTTTTAACTCAAGATTTTAATGGTGCCGATTTTTTTTATATAATTTTTTTTTTAATCTCCTAATATGTAGATTTCAGTTCATATTATAAACAAGATGTCTACTGTGAAATAGCTAACTGTATATGGCTGTGTCCTACCTATACCAAAACCAACAAAGCTATAGAATAACTGTACCCATCCACACCTTCAGAAACCGCTGTACAATGAAAACACTTCACAGGTAATTCCAATAAATCATCCTTTTCCTTTACAAGGTCTGTGTTCGTTATTGGGATTATTATGGATTTGTCAGCTAACGTGGGGGTGTGCTGGGTATTAAAGTGAACCTGTCATGGCTTGAAAAAAATGTCTAAGATAGAACCTGGTGTGGTTCCTTCAAGAAAATGCATTAAAAGGTTCACCTATAGCAGTGTTTCTCAACTCCAGTCCTCATGGACCCCCAACAGGTCATGTTTTCAGGATTTCCCTCAGATGAAAAACAGCTGTGGTAATTACTAAGGCAGTGAAACTGATCAAATCACCTGTAATGGAAATCCTGAAAACATGACCTGTTGGGGGTCCATGAGGACTGGAATTGAGAAACACTGACCTATAGAAGCATGGAACATGCTCCTATCCACCCAGCCAGTATGGGTGAGCACTCTTCTCGTTAATGGATTCTTCTGCCATTCAGTAACTGCCTGCAATATCCAGGCATTGCCCTTACAATGTTAATTTTTTTTTTTTTTCCATAAAAACGTTCACTTAGCCTTTAATCCTCCGACTGACCCTGTGAATCCCCTGCCCTGGCTCTACATTGGGCATCTGCTGCAATGGAGATTTAAAACAGAACTAAACCATTGCAGAGCAGCCTAACTAGTTTCCTCTGTCCTTCCCTGTATGTTTTATGCTGGCCGCAAGCACGACAACACAGCTTTGAAGTGTAATTCACCATAAAGAGGGCTCTGCAACAAATCACCAAAATGCACGATTTGCAATATGAAAAATGCAGCATGGCTTAAAAGATTTGTAGTGCATTTAATCAAATGTGAACATTTATTTAGAATGGGTTGCCTAATGCAGTGCATAGCAACACACAACAGGACCGGTGCTGCAAGGCATTGCAATCAGGCATAAATGTGCCCTTAAAGATGCTCGTTAATTTTCCCAGATAACGTGGCCCCCCGGGGACAGCTTTGGCAAATGCTGCATCCTCTAAGATATGGGGTTATAGCCCAGAAAGACAGAGAGAGAAGGTGGTGCTGTGAAACAAACAGGAATTTTTATTTTTACCTTGTTACAACTATACAAGGGAGGGAGCTCTGAACCGCATGCTGGGTGTTTCCGGGATGAGGATATAAGGAAGGTGTGGGAGACAATGGTTCTCATCTGCCCACTTTGCCCAGTCTGTGGTCGGTCTTGGGATCGGCAATAATTGCCTGAACAGCTACAATCGCTTCATTGATCTTGGTCTGAAGTTCTCGGAGTTCTTCAACATGAAGTAATCGCAGAATTCTGGCGGCATCATTTAATACTGCATCTAATAAACATAGAAGGAATGGAGGGAGGTTGAGATCAGCATGGAGCAGAAAACTGTAGGGGTTCACCATTAGCTAAATTCACCCTATGTACAGCAGGCAGTGACTACACCAACTGGCTATTTTGTAAAACACTTTCAACATGTACATATTCATCCGGTCCTGGGAGATTACCACACTGCCAAAGGCATCAACACCGCTTCTTGTATTTCTACATTTTTGTTTTCAGAGTGATGAAGGTTTATATAACCCCTGTCAATTTAAGGTGTTGCATTTAGCAACAAAAATCTATTAGTTCAGGTAAACATTTCCCAATGTAAAATCAAAAATTAGTAGACTATGTTTAAAAAAAAAAAAAAAAAAACCCATACTTTGGGGGCCAGAATGCACACAGCAAGTGTAACCTCTCTCAATATACAATAAAGTGCAAGGTGAAAAGGTGAACATTCTATACTCACACCAAGCCCTGCTGCACTTTACCCTTCTGGGTGATAAGCAGTCAGTGCCCATGCAGCCGCTTTACTGATCTGAGTTTTTACATCCCAGTTCTTCCGATATGGGTCAGAGTGATTCTGATTGGTCAAAGCAGTGATGTCCCGGCCCTGACCGATCAGAATTGTTCTGATCCATCCTGAAGACCTATAGAAAAGGTGGAGAGCTGGGATTTGAAATCCCCAGACCTCTGCATCAGCGGTGAGGGCCCCAACAGCTCATAACCCACAGAGCTAAGTACAGTGGGAACCTGGGGGGTTAGGAAGGTGTTCACCTCTTCATTTTGGTGTGAACTTACACTCTAAGCCCCAGTTCACACTTATGCGGTCTGGAATTCGCAGCAGTTTGTATGAATTCCGCATCAGAATTGCATCCAGTTCGTGCAAACCGCTGCGGGTGTGTATGTTAAGTCAACAAAACCCCGAAATCTGTCTGCAAAATGCAGTGCGATGGGCAGAATCGGATCACATAGGTTTGACTACCCATGCGATCCGATTTCCGTGCAGACCAAAAAAAAAAAAGGGTCCTGCACCTTTTTGGTGCGGGGGCGGTGCGATTAGAGCCATGCAAAAAATGTACCACACCGCATCTATGTGAACCTGGGCTAAAAGGCACAAACTCCTGCTAGTGAGAGAGGATTGAGGCTGCCACTGCTGACCTCTCCTTTAAGAAAGTACTGAAGATACTAGATTGAACTTACATAAAGGCACGTATCGCTTCTTAAAGTCTCTGACCTGGGACAAGTGTTCGGATCAGAAGTTGTTCTTATTTGATATGGATGTTACTGCTCTACCTGTTTGCTGTGGATCAGTGACTCAGTGTTGAAGCCAGAAGCAGCCAGGGAACAAGCATTTTGTATGTGGTCAGCAGTGACGGCGCCCTCCATGTCTCTCAATACAGGTGAAAAGCCCAGATCTACTTGATTAACCACTTCCTGTCCGGACACTTTCACCCCCTTCCTGTCCAGGGCAATTTTCAGCTTTCAGCACTATCACACTTTGAATGACAATTGCGCGGTCATGCAACACTGTACCCATATGAATTTACCATTTTTTTGAGACAGATAAAGCTTTATTTTGGTGGTATTTATTCACCGCTGGGATTTTTGTTTTTTTTTTGCTATGTAAAAAGAAAGTCCAAAAAGTTTGAAAAAAAGTGTTTTTCTTATAAAATTTTGCAAATAAATAATCTTTCATCATAAATCTTGGCCAAAATGTATTCAGTTATATTTTTAGAGAAAAAAAAAGCCAAATTAGTTTAACCAAAAATTATAATTTTTAAACTTTTTTTTTTACATTTTTATATATATATTTTTTTTTTACATACTGTCACCCTAGCAGTACAGTGTCACCACAAGTGACATCTTGCTTACTACTTTGCATGTGAGCACTGATTGGCCAATCAGTGACCACATGATCGGGACCGAGGTCCCGTCCAATGATCAGTGTTTCACTGTGTCCGGAGGACACAGCGGGCACCGGATCGCGGTGCTGCACGCTCCCAGGGAGTGCGCACAGCTAGAAAAGGCGAGTGACGTTTATGAACGGCAACCTGCCCCTGGAGTGCCACCGCCTGAACCCTGCCGTTTATAAACAGCAGGCAGACGGCAAGTGGTTAAAGCAGATTGGTCACAGACGGTGATTAAGCAATGAAAGCGGCCCTAACCAAAGTGAATTACATTAGCAAATGGTAAATGTGGTTTGGCCTTTTGAAAAACACATTACAGTCTGTCCTATAGATCAAAGAGAAGAAGCAGTTCTTACCTCCAGTATCAAATCCAAGTGTGTGTTTATCCAGGGCGACAGGAAGACCCTGCAGAGAAATACACATTCTCCGTTATAGTGATTTGTAACAAGTATGCATTGTCAGGTAGAAGGGTTGCCTCTCTTAAGGCCTCCGTTTCACTTGAATGTTTTTTGCAGCCAAAAGCTCAAAAATGCTCAACAAGCAAAACCCTATTTTTCACATCTGAGCGTTCTGTCACTTGTAGCAAAATGTCAGTCGCTAAAAAAAGTACATGAGCTTCCTTTCAGGAAGAATTGTTTTTGTCCCCATAGTGTTCAATGGAAACACCTGAAAAGTGTGTGGGGGGATTTTTTTTTTTAGCGTTTTGCATTATGTTAGCAGCTCTCTGTCCCTTGTTCAGCTTTCTATTGGTCACATAAAAAAAACTTCTTCAAAAAACAACTGACAAAGGATGCAAAAATGTGCAATTCTGCTACAAAAAAAGGTCTGAAAACGTGCCGCTTAGGTGTGAATATAACCTTACCAAAAACTATGGTGCTTCCAACCCGTGATGAGGAAGAACAAGGTACGGCTCTATCCTGGTGGTTATATTATTATACAGGATTTATATAGTATTATTATTATTATACAGGATTTATATAGCGCCAACAGTTTGCTCAGCGCTTTACAATATAACGGGAGACAATACAGCAACAATACAAGAGGGATAGGAGGGCCTGATCCTGGGAGCTTACAATCTAAGAGGGAGGGGTTAGTGGTACAAAAGGTAATAACTGTGGGGGATGGACTGGTTGGAAGGAGTAGAAGATTTCTTTATTAGCTGGGGGCAGGATAGGCTTCCCTGAAGAGATAGGTTTTCAGAGATCGCCTAAAAGTGAGCAGAGTAGGCGATAGTCTGATAGATTGGGATAGAGAGTTCCAGGGGATGGGGGAGGCTCTGGAGAAGTCCTAGAGATGAGCGTGGGAGAAGACAAGGGAGCTAGAGAGCAGGAGGTCGTGGGAGGAGCGGAGAGTACGGTTTGGGTGATATTTGGAAACAAGATCGGTGATGTAATTTGGGGCAGAGTTATAAATGGCTTTATATGTTCTTGTTAATGTTTTGAATTTTATCTGTTGGGCAATGGGAAGCCAGTGGAGGGATTGGCAGAGAGGGGTGGAGGACGCTGAGTGGAGGCCAGTGGAGGGATTGGCAGAGAGGGGTGGAGGACACTGAGTGGAGGCCAGTGGAGGGATTGGCAGAGAGGGATGGAGGACGCTGAGTGGAGGGATTGGCAGAGAGGGGTGGAGGACACTGAGTGGAGGCCAGTGGAGGGATTGGCAGAGAGGGGTGGAGGACACTGAGTGGAGGCCAGTGGAGGGATTGGCAGAGAGGGGTGGCAGATACAGAATGGTTAGTAAGGTGGATGAGTCTGGCAGCAGCATTCATGATAGACTGAAGAGGGGATAGCCTGCGATGCGGTCGGCCAATGAGGAGGGAGTTACAATAGTCAATACATGGAACCTTCAGTGGGAGGGCTCTCTGTACTCATTCTAGTAGGAGAAATCAGTTGTCACTAAAGTAGCATTTACACCGCACTTTCTCATCTTGATTTTTTTTTTTCCCTGGAGCATCCTGCAGCCTTATGAGAATACTTACAAAATTACTGCGGTGGTGGAATTAGATCTACTGCGCCTAAGTCTAGGTCTACAGCTATGTGTTTTCTGCTGCGTTTTGCAGAAACTCACAACAGTCCATTTAACATGATTTCCTATGCGACAGATTCACATCTCTTCACCTGGGGCGTTGTGTGGAAAGGGTCGCTGACCTTTTTTTAAATGCAAAACTTTGCATTTTTGGTTCTGCAGACCTCAGTGGAGACGCTGCACAAAAGCATGTAGTGTGTTATATTCTGCCCAGCACCAAGTTAAAAAAAAAAAAAAAAACACACACACAAAAGCACATGTGCAAAAAAAAACGCACCGCAAAAAGCACTGCAGAAACTGATCAAATGCAAACTGCATAGGTGTGAACCTAGGCTTACTGCTGGCTGATTGCTGCAATAGGCGGTCTTATTGACCAATAGTGAATACAACAGACAGCAAAAGGTGCAAAAATGGTCCCTTAGTCAATATTTGAGATACTAGACTACCTGGGGTAGTGGTGGTCAACTTTCTTGCTATGGGGGGCCTCAAGAGTAGCCCCCAATATCCCAAAAGGGCTGCACATAAAATTCAGTCCCAGAGACAATAGATACACTGCAGACATACTACGCGGGAGACGGTCAGCGACTGCAGACTCACTACGCGGGAGACGGTCAGCGACTGCAGACTCACTACGCGGGAGACGGTCAGCGACTGCAGACTCACTACGCGGGAGACGGTCAGCGACTGCAGACTCACTACGCGGGAGACGGTCAGCGACTGCAGACTCACTACGCGGGAGACGGTCAGCGACTGCAGACTCACTACGCGGGAGACGGTCAGCGACTGCAGACTCACTACGCGGGAGACGGTCAGCGACTGCAGACTCACTACGCGGGAGACGGTCAGCGACTGCAGACTCACTACGCGGGAGACGGTCAGCGACTGCAGACTCACTACGCGGGAGACGGTCAGCGACTGCAGACTCACTACGCGGGAGACGGTCAGCGACTGCAGACTCACTACGCGGGAGACGGTCAGCGACTGCAGACTCGACAAAGTGCCAAAGGGCTGCAGGCTGGGCACCAGGGCAATCTAAATAAAAAAGTATGTGATGGTATCTGGGGAATGTTACCCGAGTATCTCAAACAATTTGTCCTCCATTTTGAATAGAGAGGAGGGTTAGAACCCATCAGGTTTTTACTGCTTTTTGCAACTTAAGAAGATATTTCCTAATTTCCCTTTTCATTTTTTGCTGAAAAGGTAAACTAACTCTTTAAGTTACACTTTAAGGCGAGGTTCACACTTTCCTGGTGTTAGGTGTTGACGTAATTTCTTGTGCATTGTGTTTAGTCTAAATAACAAAAGACAACCAAGCCTGGCCACTGATACCGAGAACTCATAATGTTTACATCAAATCCTAGCAGCATATACAGAACCTAAAATTCAAAAAAAGTCCAACCACACAACGAATTAACCCTCCGAATACTTCTATACACCTAAATGCATTTTTCATTTCACGACCAAGAATTAGCCAGACAGGAGTCGTGTGACTCTGCTACCATCACAGAGCAAGGATGACAGCACGTGGAAAAACGTTTTCACAGAGCGAGAGGAAGGTGGGCAGCCAGGACCAGACGCATGGGAAGATACAAATGATTAGAAGAGCAGATCTTTATTTCCTTATAGAATAGATACATATGGAGAATAGATCAGACAGAACACAGACCCGGCTGTCAGTTTTGGAGGAATTGGACAGGAAATCGTGAACTGTCATAAAGAGGAAATGAATAAAACCGAAGTGTAATTATAGGACTGGCTGACCTACAGGCTTTCAGAAGTAGCACAGATCTATACATTTAGGATTTCACAAGCATGGTGTTGAAGGAAAAAAAAAAAAAAAAAAAAAAAAAAGCTCCTTAAATCTGAAATTGAACTTGATTTTGCATTCCCTGTTGTCTCCTCCCCTCCCTCACTAATATAATACATTTTTAAAGCAGTAGTAAACTCTGAATAAAACAACAAAACATGGGCCCTCAGGTGGTGTAAGTCTGTGCTAGTTTGCACTGACTACTATCATGCTATGGCAGTCCTACCTTAAACACAGCCTTCCAGCAGCACTGCTGACAGGGCTTCCATCTCCACCCAGTCCGCCTTCCACATTCGCAGGCTCAGACCATTTGAATGGCCAAGCTGCGATTACATCACTCCCACACATGCGCACGGGAGCTACAGCACAGCACTCTGAAATGACAGCACACGGAGTATACTGTCAATTCACCGATTGCTTCCACTGTGAATATCTCCTAAACCAGGGGTCCCCAACCCCCGGGCTGCGGATTGGTACCGGTCCATAGCCTGTTGATGACTGGGGCACTGTAATGTAAAGGGAACTGCACTGTAAAGGTGCACTGAAGTTATTACAGTCCCCTTTTACAACACAGTCCCCATTACATTAATTTAAAGGGGAGCCGTGAATAAATGAGGAACTGAGGATACTGTGGGACACTACATTACCTACCCGCCCCCCCAGCACAAACCTTCCCGTCCCACCACATCTACAGGAGTAGTGACAGCATCAGGGAGGAGGAAACATCCGGGAGGAGGTGTGGGCTGTGCTCTCTCCCTCCTGTTTGTAAAACACAGAATTCTCAGATGGGACTGTGCAGGATTTAATTACCCCATCACCACACAATTTCTGCTTCCGGGACATCAGCAGACTGGAGAGGTGATTTTTTTTTGTTTTTTTTTGGGGGAGGGGGGGTTGGGGGTGGTAGGTAATCAAACTCTGTACAGTCCAATCATTAAAGGGTTCCTCTGGTAATGTCTGTGTACAGAAAGGAGGAATAGAGCACATTCTGCACCTTCTCCTGGCTCTCTCCTCCTCAAATTGATAATGTCATCTGGTGCTAGGGACAGGTCGGGCAGCTTGTCCTTCACAACCAATGACATCATCGTTTGATAGGTGGGTGGGCAGCTTGCACAGCTTTCAGTTTGCCCGCAAGCGTACAGATGAGAGCCAGGAGGAGGTGTGGGCTGTGCTCTCTCCCCCTCCTCTCTGTACACAGATGTTAACAGAGGAACCCTTTCATGATCGGCTTAATGTCATTTTTGCTGTGGCCCCCCTTGAGAAATCTTGTGGAACCTTGGGTTAAAAACCCTACTCTATGCAAGAGATTATGGCTGGTGGGAGGGGCTGTACGTAGCTTTCTGAAAACATCACTGTCCCCCTGCCTCAGTATATTCCTCTCAAGAGCCCTCAAAGCTCAGCGTGAAGTTGGCTAACTCCTGCAACATCTTATACAAATGCCTTGATGGGTGGATGTCATTCTGGAGGGGTGTGCGTTTCTACGCAGACTGTCCTAGGTAACACCCCCTTGCAAAGCCTCCATGATTAAAAGAACGGAAATCCAATTAATGAAAGGGGTGGGCCAGGGAAAAGTCAGTCAGTCTGGTGAGAAAAGTGCTAGGTGATGCTGAAGATCCTCAGCCAATAAATGAGGTAGGCCCTATCTGACCTGCTGCAGCTTCTAATGCACACTGTAAGACATTCACAGTGTGCAGTGAAATCAGAGTAAGTAATTTCACTCCAGGAGAGGAGCCGGTACAACTGTGCAAGACTGAAGGGAAGGCCTGAAGGTTAGACGTAGTTTAAAGGCCATAGCACATGCTTCAATTTTGGGTATGGGGAATGAAAGGATAAAGACCTCCCCGGTGTGCCAGATGTGTGAGAGAGGGAACAAAAGAAATCCATCAATTTGGAAAGTATCTGGGGCTGGAAAACAGACAGACTAGCACTATATCACTGGGTCCTAAAGTAAATTATGACATCAAAACGGAAAGGTTTTAATTTTATTTGGCACTGAACTCCGCTTTTGAACTTGTACCTACAGGCAAGCCTGTAATAGGACTCACCGGTGGGTACAGGGACGGTCTTCTAAACTTGCGGTATTCATGAGATATTCACACTGGAAGCAGTTGGCGACGTCACTGGGGAATGCGCCCTGCACTCTGAATTGACAGCACACTGTAGCGCCCTCTACTTCAGTGACATCAGCCAGGTATGGTATGTACAGCACTATAATGGTCCAAGCTGGAGCAATGTAAAAATGAAACATACTTGGAAGTATCCTTTAGTATGTCTCTTCTACATTAAAAAAAAAAAAAAAAAAATTAAACTGGACTTTTTTTTTAAAAAAAGTTCTAATTTAGCATGGCCTATGACTACGTCAGTACACATCGCCGCAGTGAAAACTATACAACCGGTCTTCATCGGCCCGTTCAAGTGCAGAACCGCCTAACAACTATCTCTGAAAAGCTACCCTCAGCAATAAAATAGTCACACATGTAAATGAGGCGGAAGAGAATTGTGGAAGCATTTAGCCCTACTACTGATAGACAGCAGGGAGGTGGGAGTGATGCTGTGAGAAGATGAATGGAGGATGGGCAGATGAATGAAAGGTCTGTCTCCTTCATTCATAGATCACGTTTCATTCCTGAAATCTACAGTACAGCTTCAAAGAATGGAGGAGAAGTGGAAAGGGCGGGCATAGTCAGCACTCTTGATGACTGGACCTGACCGGTCCCTTGGCTCGCATTAACCCCCATGCTCCAAAACGTGATCACTGAGAGGGTGTGGGGGGGGATGATCAGAGGACTGAAGATTAAACTTAATCCTCAGCCAGCAGCACAATAACACTTTGCATCGGTTGTAAGTAATGCCCCCTGTGTGGGGTTTTTTCTTTTTAAACTTGGGCTTTAAACACATGCAACTAAACTGAGGTTTTAAATACATGGAGGGTGTAAATAAGGTTCAGGAGGGTAGTATTTCCAATATGAAGCCAAGATCAAGAAGACATGACCTCAAAGTAGCAGGAGAAAAGTTCAAAACAAACCTTAGAAAGTATTAATTTACCGACAAAGTAGTCGGTGCTTGGAACAGACTGCCAGCAGAGGTATCGAGTCAGCAGTTAAAAAAAAAAAAAAAAATTTAGTCTTTGGTACAAACCTAGATCAACAGTATACGCAGACATAAAGGGGTTGATTTACTAAAACTGGAGAGTGCAAAATATGGTGCAGCTCTGCATAGAAACCAATCAGCTTCCAGATTTTTTTTTTTTTTGTCCAAGCTTAATGTGTTACTAAACCCACAACAGTACAATCAGTCTGTATATGCAGTAAAGCATGCTTGTTATACTCACTGTGGAACCTAAGGGGTTAATCCTCCGCATTGCGTAAAAAGGCTGCTTGATCCCATCTTCTCTGATCCTCCCCTTCTTCCCTTGTACCCCTCTTATCTCCTGATAAGACGTATGTGTGGAGACACTGCACATGCTCAGTTCGGTGTGTATTGCTAGAGGGTTTTTATTTTGCCTTGGGAAAGTGCATGTGATCAGCACGGGTCCAATAAGCACTGTCTAGACCAGGGGTGGGCAAACTTTTTGACTTGAGGGCCGCAATGGGTTCATATATTGGACCCGGGGGCCGGACCAAGAGTAGATGAATGATGTGTATGTGTCATCCATAGTAAATATAGTAATATTCCCCCATAGTAATTCATCCCCCATATAGTAATTCATCCCCCATATAGTAATTCATCCCCCCTATAGTAATTCATCTCCCCATATAGTAATTCATCCCCCATATAGTAATTCATCCCCCATAGTAATTCATCCCCCATAGTAATTCATCCCCCATAGTAATTCATCCCCCATAGTAATTCATCCCCCCTATAGTAATTCATCTCCCCTATAGTAATTCATCTTCCCATATAGTAATTCATCCCCCATATAGTAATTCATCCCCCCAATAGTAATTCATCCCCCATATAGTAATTCATCCCCCATATAGTAATTCATCCCCCATAGTAATTCATCCCCCATATAGTAATTCATCCCCCCTATAGTAATTCATCCCCCATATAGTAATTCATCCCCCATATAGTAATTCATCCCCCATAGTAATTCATCCCCCATATAGTAATTCATTCCCCATATTAAGTCCCCAAGTCCCCCCTGTGTCAATTCACTTACCTTTGCTCCGCGCGTTCCTCTCGCCGTGTTCTCGCGCCATTCCGGTGTAGCATCAAAATCTGTCTCATATGAGGATCTGTCCCCCTCGACGTATCTGCGCATGTGCCAGTTTCCGGCATTAGCAGCCGATCGGCGATCTCCGGCACATGTGCAGATACGTCGAGGGGGACAGATCCTCACAGGAGACAGATTTTCATGCTACACCGGTGTTCAGGGCGGACTGTGAGAGGAGCCTAGCGGGAGATTAGCTCCGCGGGCCGGATTAAAAGGTCCGCCGGGCCATATACGGCCCGCGGGCCGTAGTTTGCCCATTGCTGGTCTAGACAGAGGGTCAGGGGGGGTTAAGCAGCCTCATAGGACAATCAGGGTAGAATGAAAACTCCTACAAGCTCTAACGTGCTTGGCTGGACACTGATTGAGCAGTCTTGTGACTTCTAACTGCTGATGGAAAAAAGGTATTTAGCAGTTTATATTTACTAAAATAATTGCATATTCTTTGTACTGTGGGAGACCAGACCGAGCAAACGCAGGGTCCGGGGAGACCAGACCGAGCAAACGCAGGGTCCGGGGAGACCAGACCGAGCAAACGCAGGGTCCGGGGAGACCAGACCGAGCAAACGCAGGGTCCGGGGAGACCAGACCGAGCAAACGCAGGGTCCGGGGAGACCAGACCGAGCAAACGCAGGGTCCGGGGAGACCAGACCGAGCAAACGCAGGGTCCGGGGAGACCAGACCGAGCAAACGCAGGGTCCGGGGAGACCAGACCGAGCAAACGCAGGGTCCGGGGAGACCAGACCGAGCAAACGCAGGGTCCGGGGAGACCAGACCGAGCAAACGCAGGGTCCGGGGAGACCAGACCGAGCAAACGCAGGGTCCGGGGAGACCAGACCGAGCAAACGCAGGGTCCGGGGAGACCAGACCGAGCAAACGCAGGGTCCTGTGTTTAGTAACACGTTAAACTCTTGAGCAAAGTCAGCCGCCTGGTCTCCAGGGTGTTAAGATCACGCCAACAAAACCACCTTCGCATTTAGAGTTTCATTTTTGGCAATGTCCAGACAGAGGTCAGGGGTTCTGCATCCTCCTACAGCATGACTAGAGATGGCTACCATGCACAGCGCCACCAGATGTTGCACTCATCACTTTCAGTAAATTAATCCCAACAGGTCTTCCTATGTTTCTATGCAATAACCTTCCTCTTGTCCACTGTTCATCCACAGACAGAGACATAGGGACTATTCATGGTCCCACACGACTGCACACCTCCAGCCTCCAGAGCACGGTTTATTTTTAATACTAGAGTTTAAATTCCACAAACACTTGTCTGCAGTGCCTGGAAATAAACAATGTACTATGAAGGTTATATGGACACTTTATAAAACAAAAGCACACCGGATGGGAAACCCTTCATTACAGATTCACATCTATTTCAAGAACAAGGAAATGTTTAAATAGATGCAGTGGGAGACAAGGTGCAGACAATGGGGTGTAATAGAAAGGAGGAAGCTGGCACACCAACACCGGTTACTCCTTTCTCAGACACTACTGGGCCACTCCTTTGTTCATCTTTGAATGAAGATTTATACCAGAACACTGGAATCTTCGAGAAAAACTTTTTTTCCCCCATCTACATATTAGAAGCCATGTCGTCTGCACACACATGACAGAAGCCAGGCTTTGCTGGTAAGAAAACAACTCAGAGCGTCTCACCTCTTTCGAGCTATTGGATTTGGCAATGGCTTCTGGGGACAGTCGTTCTTGGACAAGAATTCGTATTGCCTGGGAAAAGAAGACAAGGAGCTCTCGTTATATAAAATCTAAAACAAATATACATAGAATTATGCACCTCCAACGTGAAGATCTAGTGTGGTGATGTTCCTCCAGCATTCTCCAACTGCTCATGTGAGACTGCATGGAAACGCCATTAAAGCCCATCTCTGGGTGACTGGTCAGGAGAAGAGGGGGCACAGACACGGCCTCAGTGCAGGGGGGGGGGGGGGGGTCTTGGAGACCTGCAGCACTCACATAAGGAGCTGTCGGAAGTACAGTGGAAGCTGTACTAATCTCAGCATGTAAACAAGTTCATCTGCAGGACATTGAAGTATGACTGCATTACATGACATAAATTTGCGGCTGAGAAAATGGAACATTTTGCTGCTCCAAATCTGTTAAGACAAAATTTAGAAGAAGAACTCTGGGCAAAATGTTATTTTCCCATGCAGTGGGGCTGTGCCTGCACTGCATGGGTTAAATGCTCGTTTTTTGTCTAGGGCAGGGGTGGGCAACTGTGGCCCTCCAGCTTTTGTAGAACTACAAGTCCCATGAGGCATTGCTGATAGTTACAAGCATGACTCCCAAAGGCAGAGGCATGATGGGACTTGTAGTTTTGCAACAGCTGGAGGGCCACAGTTGCCCACCCCTGGCCTAGTGGTTTGGTAAGGGGAGATATACTTACCTAATCTGCTGATCCTCCGAGCGCAAAGCATCAGAGGGATCTCATTGTTAAAAGGTATGTCAGGAGAAGGGTACAAAAGAATTTCCAGCCCTTCGGGTCTGGTAGGGATTTTGAGAGGAACTCCCATGCCAACATAAAAAAAAAACAAAAAACAAAACAAACAAAAAAAAAAAACAAAAAAACAAAAACAAACGAAAACACACAAAAAACACACAAAAAACAAACAGAAAAAAAAAAAAAAAGGTGTGGCCCCCCCCCCCAAAAAAATCCATACCAGACCCGTATCTGAGCATGCAGCCAGCAGGTCAGAAAAGGGGAGGGGGGCAGATGAACCATACCAGGCCACATGCCCTCAACATGGGGGGGGGCTTTGGGTGTGCTTTGGTGCGGGGGGGGGCTTAAGAACTCAGTGAATGAGTGACGCGGCTGTGTGGGCGGTTCTAGCACCCTCCTCACTGATATAAAATGTACTCTTATGTACGGATGTGATTTGAGTGTGCATTATCCTATATATTTTTTTTGCTCTACTAATTTTGTGGGTGGCCCTGTCTGCACAATGGGGCTCAAACCCAGAATGTAAACTCAAAGGAGCCAGATGGAAAAGTATACTGCAGTACAGTTACTGAAAAATACAATTAAACAGCAGCAGAGATTCCTCCATCAGCACTGTTTATTATTGTGGATTGGGGAGGGGGGAATCTTTTGATTCCTCGTTTAGCCTCCTGTGAGAACCAGCGAAGAGAGACTGAAGTGTGTATGGCTCGTCTGATCAGTACAGCTCAGCATGTAAGTTAATATTAGGCTTTCTGGTGCAATTAATTCTTTTAAATTCAAATTATCCCAATGAGTAAACAATCCACAGGCATCATACAGTGCCTTGAAAAAGTACTCCTACCCCTTGAAATGTTCCACATTTTGTCATGTTACAACCAAAAAATGTAAATGTATTTTATTGGGATTTGATGTGACAGACCAACACAACGTGGCACATAATTGTGAAGTGGAAGAAAATGAGAAATGGTTTTCAAAATTGACAAATAAATTTGTGAAAAGTGTGGCGGCATTTGTATTCAGCCCCCGTGTGAATACTTTGTAGGACCCTCTTTCCCTGCAATTTCAGCTGCAAGTCTTTTTGGGGATGTTTCTCCCAGCTTTGCACATCTAGAGAGGGACATTTCTGCAAATTGCAAAAACAGCTCAAGCTCTGTCAGATTGGATGGAGAGCGTCTGAACAGCAATTTGGGGATGGTGTGTTCAGGGTGATGATGTGCAGTGTTAGTTTTCCCCCACTCATAGCGTTTTGCTTTTAGGCCACAAAGTCCAATTTTGTTCTCATCTGACCAGAGCACCTTCTTCCACATGTTTACTGTGTCCCCCACATGGCTTCTCGCAAACTGCAAACAGGACTTCTTGTGGCTTTCTTCCAACAAATGCTTTCTTCTTGCCACTCTTCCATAAAGGCAGATTTGTAGAGTGCACGACTAATAGGTGTCCTGTGGACAGATTCTCCCACCTGAGCTGTGGATCTCTGCAGCTCCTCCAGAGTTACCATGAGCTTCTTGGCTGCTTCTCTAATGAATGCTCTCCTTGCTCGGCCTGTCAGTTTAGGTGGACGGCCATGTCTTGGTAGGTTTGCAGTTGTACCATACTCTTTCCATTTTTGGATGTTGGATTGAACAGTGCTCTACGAGATGTTCAAAGCTTGGGATTTCTTTTTTTATATCCTAACCTTGCTTTAAACTTCTCCACAACTTTATCCATGACATGTCTGGTGTGTTCCTTGTGCTCCATGATGCGGTTTGTTCACTAATGTTCTCTAACAAACCTCTGAGGGTTTCACAGGACAGCTGTATTGATACTGAGATTAAATTACACACAGGTGGACTATTTACCAATTCGGTGACTTTTGGTTCCACTAGATTTTAGTTAGGGGTATCAGAGTAAAAGGGGGCTGAATACAAATGCACGCCACACTTTTCAGATATTTATTTGTAAAACATTTTGAAAACTATTTATCATTTTCCTTCCACTTCGCAATTATGTGCCACTCTGTGTTGTTCTATCACATAAAATACCAATAAAATGCATTTACCTTTTGGTTGCAACATGAGAAAATGAGGAAAATTTCAAGGGGTATGAATACTTTTTAAAGGCACTGTAGGTCACATTTTACATATATGATGCTGCTTACTTTAAGCATCACCAGATAATCGTCATGTCTCTGGATCTGCAGGAGGTTTGCCAAGGCCATCACTCCAGCTTTGAAGTCTGGGTTGTTCACTAAGGAGGAAGAAAAAAAACAGACAGAAATAAATATCAACGCCTGGCACCATACACACAAAGAAAATCTGTTGATGGGCAAACCCCCTAATCCCCCCTGTCAGAGATGACGTACCAATATAGACACCTTTTTGCATATAGTCTGGGAATGTAACAAAATAAGAGCCTTTCTGGTCTGAAATAAAAGACTTCATTGCTACCTTACCAAGCATACCTAATGTCTGTCATACTACTAGATGATGTCTTTTAGGCCATTTAGATCATTCCGATTTGCAAAGTAAACCAAACGCCTTTTCCACCTGCTTTACCGATTCCTTAAAACGCACTGGTTACCATGTCACTAGAGAGGATGCGTACCATGGAAGCCAAACAAAGCAAGCAGAGTGCAAAAAAATCTTGTCACCAGCTTTGCCTGCAGGCTCCATAAAGCTGATATTTACCCTATTTAGGATTTACTATGCCTTGTTCCACACTGTGTGCATGTGAAGGCAGCCATCTTGATAAGGGCAGGGCTCTGCTTCCTCATGTCATAGCTGGCCTTCATGACTGTTGACTAATGGGAGAATAATCAAGTAGCAGCAGGAGAGGTCTAAACCTCTAATTCAAAGAACAAATGTATCAGAAGCAGGGAGATACTTACACTGCAGGTACAGATTCCTCTCCAGCAAGGAAAACAGTGAGGAGCACAGTTGTAGCACCAAATCTCACACCTCAGATCAGTGGTTCTCAACCTCTTTTCAGTAAAATTATGGACAGTCCCATGGCACCCCTTAAAAATATGGACAATCTTGAGGCACCCCAAATGGGGTGCCTCTACACTGTACATAATTTTAAAAGGGCACCCCATTCTAAAATGTAAAAAACTATTCTAATAGTTTTATATAATGCAGCAACATCTACACATGTAGGACACCCAACATTAGAGGTGATTTATTCATCTAAAGCAAATACACTTTTGCACACTGGCACGGACTAGTATTCCAGTGTCTCTCTTCTCCATCACTGAGCTAATGTGATCCCAGCACTGATGGAGAGGGGCAGGACAGGGTCAAACTAGTATGCTGTGCAGGCAGCTGACATCCTCCTTATCAATTCATGATGTCATTGGTTGTCAGGATTCTGACAGCTAGAAGGTCGTAATGGTGAAAATGAAAACCTGTGGCTTTGTGTAACTAAAAGTCAGGCTTGTAACACCCACTGGCCTGAATACAAGTTTTGGGCAATTTTTAGACATTTTGCCAAGGCACCCCTGAAGAAACCTCAAGGCACCCCAGGGTAACTGGGCACCTTGGTTGAGAAAGGCTGCCTTAGATGACCTCACACTGAAAATACACAACTATGAAGCTTAAAGCAGAACTAAACCCACCGATTTAATAGCTCACTGCCAAGTCACTTGCCATGCCTCCAGTCTCCTTGCAATTTAGAATGAAACAGTCCTTTCATATGTGGGCAGCACAGTGGCTAAATGGTTAGCACTTCCGCCACCTGGCAGTACTAGGGTCGTTGGTTTGAATCCCAACCACGGCACTACCTGCCTGGAGTTTGCATGTTCTACGTGGGTTTCCTCCAGGTACTCCGGTTTCCTCCCACAATCCAAAGACATGCTTGGTAGGTGAATTGGCTCCTGTCTAAAATTGGTCCTAGTATGTGTATGTATGAATGTGAGTTAGGGACCTTAGATTGTACGCCCCTTGAGGGTTAGGGACCTTAGATTGTACACCTCTTGAGGGTTAGGTACTGATGTGAATGTACAATATATATGTAAAGTGCTGTGTAAATTGACAGCACTATATAAGTAACTGAAATAAATAAATAAAAGCATGTTTGAACAACTCTGTCACACAACCACATTAATTTACACAAGCAGCACGTACCATCCAGGTTTATTAATGGCTCCACACTCTTTGTGGCCTCTGTAGTCAGTGGTTTTGCATTCTGGTATTTAGCAGCTGGGGAAAAAAAAAAAAAAAAAAAAGGTCACTATTACTGCAATTTAGAATAATGCTGGCCATACGTGGCTCATAGTTCTGGTTAATTTCTACTTATCGGATGCAGCGACTGATCAGCTATTCAAGCAGCTGCTGGCAGTGCACAATTCATCATCGTCTTGGTTTAACTAAATGGACTAATTCAGGAGGAAATATAAACATCAAAAGTGCGTAGTCAGCAGCGGTGGCACAAAAAACCTTGACATTTAGTCATTCAGAACGACTGAAGACCAAGGTCATTCTGTGCCTAGATTGCTGCCTGCACATTGTTGATGTTTACAGGTTGGCCCTACTGGACATCGGCAACATCACATAGGCACCAGAACGCTCTTCGCATTTAAATGTGTACAACATAAAACATGACTATGAGCGCAAAAAACTTGTACACAGCTAAATGCTACAGACCAAAGCAGAGCAGCGTGCGCCCATAGCATCAATTACAGCTTATCTGCATGCAGGAGTCCTTATCTCAATTAACCCCATGTGTGCCTATTCTTTCTACCAGGTAAATCTATTAATATTTACAATGTCTACCTGCCCCATCTTCAGTATTCGATTTATTACATCATGGCCCACCGAGCTCACCCTACCCAAATAAAGCAGGTTATCAAGCCCAGTACATGACCGTATTCTCAGATTTATATTTTGGATAACCTTGTTAATAATAACGTTCAGGATAACCTTTCAAAGTATTTTTTTTTTTCTTTTTAGTTCTAAGCTGCCAGTGGCTCCCCTCATCTCTTGTTCCTGTGACACCAACACAGAAAATGAAGAGTCGGGTGTCATCAAGACACATTCAGTAAAAGTAAACCCGACAGAGGCTCTAATCCATATACATCTCTATTGCTATGTCCCATTTGGAGAGATTAACCTCAACAGTTTCAGTTCCTGTCGCTCTGACCAGGAAGCAATATCTCCAGTGGATACACACACTGGCTATAAGCTACCAAACTCAGTCCAAAAAGCATTTTGTATAAACAGGTAAATCACCTACCATTATCGCCATACTCGAGGCGAACTGCAAGACCCAGAAGCCAGTCTATTCCTTCCTGACGCTCTTGAGACTTGAAGGGGCATGAGACATCTTTCAAGTACTGGGGAGGGAATATCAAATGATTTTAAGAAACACATCCTCGAAGAAGGGAGGACTATTTTTTTAATTATTATACAGGACTTATATAGCGCCAACAGTTTGCTTTGCACTTTACAATATAACGGGAGACAATACAGCAACAATACAGTTCAATACAAGAGGGTTAGGAGAGCCCTGATCCTTGGAGCTTACAATCTAGGTGGAAGGGGCTAGTGGTACAAAAGGTAATAAATGTTGGGGATGTACTGGTAGGAGGAATAGAAGATTTGGTTATTAGCTGAAGGCAGGATAGGCTTCCCAGAAGAGATAGATTTTCAGAGATCGCAATAGGCAATAGTTGGATAGATTGGGGTACAGAGTTCCAGAGGATGGAGGGAGGCTCTGGAGAAGTCCCGGAGGGGAGCATGGGAGGAGGAAACAAGGGAACTAGAGAGCAGGAGGTCGTGGGAGGAGGGGAGAGGATGGTTTGGGTGATATTTGGAGACAAGATTGGTAATTGGGGGCAAAGTTATAAATGGCTTTAAATGTTATTGTTAGTGTTTTGAATTCTATTTGTTGGGCAATAGGAAGCCAGTGGAGGGATTGGCAGAGAGGGGTGGAGGACACTGAGTGGAGGCCAGTGGAGGGATTGGCAGAGAGGGATGGCAGATACAGAACGGTTAGTAAGGTGGATGAGTCGGGCAGGAGCATTCATTATAGACTGAAGAAGGGATAGCCTGCGATGAGGTCGGCCAATGAGGAGGGAGTTACAATAGTCAAGACGAGAGATAACCTGGGAGGGAATAAGTTGCTTAGTAGTTTCCAAGGTTAAGAACGGGCGTATCTTGGAGATGTTGGAGGTGAAGCCTACATGATTTGGACAGTGATTGGATTTGGGGCAGAAAGGACAGATGGGAGTCCAGGATTACACCTAGTACCCTGGCATGAGGGGAGGGACTGACTGTTGTATTATTGATCTTGATGAGGAGGGGGCATGAACTGGAGGAAATAGTATGAGATCCGTTTTAGAAAGATTGCGTTTGAGGAAGCAGAGTGACATCCATGCTGATATGTCACTTAGTAGATTAGTAATGCGAAAGGAGACTGAAGGGGTGAGGTGAGGAGTAGAAAGATAGATTTGTGGGTCATCAGCATAGAGATGGTATTTGAAGCCATGGGAGTTTATCAAGTGACCAAGGGAGGAGGTGTAGATGGAGAAAAGGGGTCCAAGGGAAAAACCTTGAGAGACCTCTAGAGAATGAGGAAGTGGAGAGGAGACAGGGTTATAGGTAACACTGAAGGAGCGCTGCGATTGGTAGGAGGAGAACCAGGAGAGAGCAGTCTCTCAGAGGCCAAGAGAGTGGATTTTGTTTTTTTGAGGAGAGGATGGTCAACAGTATGAAAAGCCGCAGAGAGGTCAAGTAGTAAGAGTACGGAGTAGTGGCCATTGGATTTAGCAGTTAGTAAATCATTAGTGAGTTTCAGTAGTAGGGAAGTTTCAGTGGAGTGGAGTGAAAACTGGACTGTAAAAGGGTCAGGAAAGTTGTTGACAGTGAGGTGGGAGCTCAGACGATTGTAGACTAGACATTCTAAGAGTTTAGAGGTAAATGGGAGCAGGGAGATGGGTCTTAAGATGTTCAGGTTGGTGGGTTCCAGGGAGGGCTTTTTAAGTATGGGAGTGATGTGTGCATGCTTTAGGAGGGGAGGGGAAGGTGCCAGTAGAGAGGGAGAGATTGAAGATGTGAGTGAGGGAGCACAGGATGGAAGAAGAAGGTGACTGTAGTAGTTGTGAGGGGACAGGATCCAGGGGGCAGGTGGTGAGACGGGCTTCTGAGAAAACCTTAGTGACCTCTTCCCTCTTCAGTAGTAGAAAAGACTCAAAAGAGGAAAGTGTTGAGGGAGGTTTAGTATAAGGTATGTTAAGTGGGATAGATGTCTGTGCGGTGAAGATGCCCCTATGAATTGCATCAATCTTGTATTTGAAATTATTGGCAATCTCGTAAGCAGTGAGTTACTGGGTGGCGGTGGAGAAAGTAGAGAGTTAAAAGTGGAGAAGAGACGAGGAGGACTGGAAGACAAGGTATTATAAGGAGTGACCAAGTAGGCTTGTTTGGCAGCATGAAGGGAGGAATTTTATTTTAAGAAAGCAGATTTATATAGGGTGAATGCTGGCTGGGATTTGGCTATATGCTCCAGTTCACGGCTATGTCTCTTAATATTTCTGGTGTCATCAGTCTGCCACGGTTGCAATGGTCGGGGCCTGATATTTCATGTTGTTAGAGGAGCAAGTGAGTCTAGTGTGGAGGAAAGCAAATGGTTGTAGACAGCAGTGGCCAGGTCAGGGCAGGACAGGAGAGAGATTCAGTCATAGAGGCGGTCAGTTGCAGAGTAGAAAAGAGAAGGGTTTGAGTTGTGGAGGTTTCTGTGGATGATTTGTTTGCTGCTTGGATGGATAGGTGTTTGAAGACGATGACACTGTGAAGGTGATGAGATTGTGATCAGAGAGAGGAAAGGGGGTGTTTGAGGTTGTAGGAGTGCAAAGATTGGAGAAAACAAAATCTAGGATATTCCCATCAGAGTGAGTGGAGGACTGAGTCCATTGCGTTAAGGCAAAAGAGGAGGTTAGGTTGAAGAGTTGGGATGTAGCCGGGTTGTTCACATTTAATGGGGAAGTTAAAATCACCAAGAATGATAGTGGGTAGTTCAGAGGAGAGAAAGTAGGGTAGCCAAGCGGACAAGTCATCAAGAAAGCAGGACACCGGATAGATCACTGCAATCCTCAAAGCAATGGGAGAAAACAGTCAAATGCAGCGAGTCTCAAAAGAAGAGAAGGATAGAGAGGAAGGGTTAGGGAGGACTTGAAAGGTGCTGAGTGGGGAATAGAAGCAAACCAACTCCACCACCTTTCCGACCACTGGGTCTGGGTGAGTCCAGTGGAGGCCTTCATGGGAAAGTGCTGCAGGAGAAGCAGAGTCTGCTGCTTGAAGCCAGGTTTCTGTAACTGCTAGTAGGTTAAGGGAGTGGGAGACACTTTAATAGAAGAAAAAAAAAATCCAGCAATTGCTGCACATCTGACTGCAAAGTGGGGAGAATATGTCTTCATTGTCACCAACTGATCAGTGCTGCAATAAGAAAACCAGCAGCCCCAGTATCCCATTAGTGTAGAAGTAATACAGCGTATCGCAACAAAAACTAAAACTAAAGCCGGCCATACACGGGTCGAATTCCGAATGAATTTTCTTTAGAAAATCTTTTCTAAGAATTTTCGTTCAAATTTCGCACCATTAGTGGGCCACAGCAACGGCCGATTTTCGTGCGACCATCGAATTTGAGTGATCAGGCATGTTGGAAATATTTTGAAAAAACAAATGAATTTCTAATCAACGATGGGAGAATCGTGTGAGAAAACGCAATTGGAAAAAGACAAAAATGAGCGTGAGCTGTGACATAGGAAAAAATTCTTGGCCACAAAAATTCTTTTCTGTAGCAACATGAGGGGAAACTGAAGGCTTGGTTAGCTGAATTTTTTAAAAAAAAAAAAAAAAAATTACAATTACGGATTACAAAATGCATAAAATGTCTTATTTTCTAAAGAAAATTTGTTCGGAATTCGATCCACGTATGGCCTGCATTAGGCAGAGAATGTCTGTAATCCGACTTCTAGGCGTCTGCAGACTACCAACTGAAGCCAATTACATGTAAGAGGACTAAGAATTCTTAGGGAAAGCTGTACACAAATGCAGCAGAAAACAACCAAAAGGTTGCCATGGCTGCAAGAAGCAACATTTGAATTTTTTTATAAAAAAACTGTACCTGGTTGCATACCGAGACAGAACGGCAATTTAAATGACATTAAGGGCCCATTCACACAAGATGCAGTGGGATGCATTTTCACTGCACTTAAATTGCATAGACAGTCCAAAATGCAGGTTATCCTATGTGCAAAGTTCACACGACTGCAGTGCTGTGCAATGTAAAAAAGATCAGCAAATGGCATTTTTATGCACGACAAATGCACAAAAACGTGTGCAAATGCACTGCAATGCAGCACGCATAAAACGGCGAAAGAAAACAAAAACGCTAGTTTAGGAAAAATGCTCCGTAAATGCATGCTAAAAACGTACATCAAATGCACTTCACTGCGTGTGCAAACACAGGCAGTAAACAAGCAGTTTCTGCTGTGAATGGGCCCAAAACCTATAAAATTACAATTATATGTTATATAAGTATAACTGGATACTAACATTTATAGGTAAAGTTGATCCAGGGAATATCCGATTGCCTCTCGGGGGATCAGGAAGGAATTTTTTTCCCAGCAGGAGCAAATTGGATCATGCTTTGCTGGGTTTTTTTTGCCTTCCTCTGGATCAACTGTGGGTATAGGAGCATAACTTATTTTTTTATGGTTGAACTGGATGGACTTTTGTCTTTTTTTCAGCCAGACTAACTATGTTACATAATTTCTGGTCTTTTCAGTGTAAGGCTCCTTTCACACACGCATGATCTGTTCGGTCACATTTTTCTGAAGAAAAAAAAACAGATTCGGTTTGCATCGGTTTTCAGTTTGATTTAGATCAGTTTACTTCAGTTTTCCCTTCTGTTTATATCAGTTCAGTTTACATCAGTCTACATTCATTTTTGCATCTATTTTTACTTCGTTGTTGCAGAGACCAATCAGAGGTGACAAAAGTATAAATAAAAAAATCTTCTTGCCTAAAAACAGACACAGGTGTAAACGGATGGCATCTGTTTACATCCGTTTAATTCTGCTTCAATGGATCTGGACCTATCCAAGTCCATTTAAAATAAATGGAATGGAACGGACATGGATGTAAACAGATAATCATCCTTTGGTCCATAGAATACATTGCTGTCTGTCTGTTTTTATCCATCCATTGAGAGATGAAAAACAGATGGTCCAACTATGTGAAAGGGGCCTAAATGCCAGCATTTTGCATATATGCACGCCATACTGGCTATTCTGCACAAACCCAGCCGTTTGAAATCCCTACAACTGCCTTG